AGTTTAACATGACAGCAAATGTACAACGTTTCGACAAGGTTTTGTCATCATCAGGTACCGGCCATTATTATACATTCAAGCCGTCTTCAAGGAATTAAATGAGTTCATTTTCTACTACTGAAGGTGAAATGATAAACTTTATATATATATGGGTGCGAGATATGTCTAAACAGGGCGTACTTCTAAGACTTGTTGACTCGATCAGAAGAGTTTTCGATTATAACTTGGGTAAATTTGTATCCTTGGTGTCTAGACTTTATGCTTTACATGGAAGAATGTCTTAAAATATACAGTGTATTTTATTAATTTATTAAATACATACAATCCTCAATTTTTTGGCTAAATTATGATATCTTTGTTCACACAAGTGCCAATCAATGAATCTATTGGTTGTACTCTTTCCTACGTAACTTGTATTAAGTAGATGATTATTTCTGCAAACACTAACCACATAAATTGCATTTCCATTTAATGACTTTTTTTTTATAATCAGTTTGAGGGAATAAGTGCGGGTTGTCGTTTAACGCCCAATCTAGCTGAACATGCTTGACTACAAAACCAAATGTTCGGTTATATTTAGGGGCTTTTTTTATGTTACAGATGTTGATGATACATTTGCTGGTATTGTTTCTTGATAAAATTTCTAAATTCATTACACTCTAACATTTAACTTACTAATGAGAAGGGAGAGAAGCAATTATTCCTTGACGTTACACTTCAAAAAAAAGTAAATATAGTTTTTAAAACAAAAATATTAAAATCTCAAACTGATCTTTATTTCCATCAGACAAAAATTAGGGATTATTAAAAATTTGATTCGCCACAGTTAACATTATTTCTAATTCTAAACAAACGTTATGTGAGGGAATAAATTATTTGGAAAGAGCACTGGAGTAAAGAAAAACTGGTTTTCCCGTTAATGTTGTTAGAAAATGTCTAGTCATTAAAACGGTTTCAAGGAAAAAAGAAAACTGGTTTTCTCGTTAATGTTGTTAGAAAATGTCTATTCATTAAAACGGTTTCAAGAAAAAAAAAGAAAACTGGTTTTGTCGTTAATGTTGTTAGAAAATGTCTAGTCACTAAAACGGTTTCAAGAAAAAGTAAAGAAAACTGGTTTTTCCGTTAATGTTGTCAGAAACTGTCTAGTTACTAAAAAGGTTTCAAGAAAAAGTAAAGAGAACGAATTCAGATAACTTGGTTTATTGCGTCGTTCCATAAGTATCTAGTTTATCAACTACAGTAGAAAGAGAGAGAAATAAAAAAACATGCAAAAAGAACAAAAATAATATAACTTTCCATCACGAGTAGATTTAATTTCTAACAGAAAGAATAAAACTAGATGTATTTGAAAGAGATTGTTTGTGGTATAAGATGTAGGGATATAAAAATCTTTACACTGGAAGATTTGGTGAAATTTAAGTTGAAGAATGGAAGAACATGGACGTCTACCAAAAGTTTAACGATACACAACATTACAGTGAAAATAAAACATTTGTTGTGAGCTTAATTTTAACAAACGCAAAATAAAAGAAGCTATTCTAATAAAACGAAAATAGCATTTTAATTTAAGGTCAAGATTACTAGCAGGGGTATATAAACGTATTGTATTATTGTTCCATTTTCAGATGTGCATACTCTTTAGTTCAATATTTCAAAACAAGTTTCGTTGTTTTTGTTCTTGTTCAACATAAATTACGACAAAGAACTTCAACGAGGAAACAACAGTAGTAAACGTAACGTTATACAACTATATATCGTATATAATACGTGCAGAAACGCAGGTATTTAGTTATGAAACCATAGTGAGGTTTTTTTTTAAGAGTGTGTATTTTTATGGGACCTGTTAACCTTGAACATCAAACAAGTGCGCAAATAACCTCATATAATCAACCATTCAATACTTCTGTGAAAGAAAATAATGCATTGTCCTGTTTGGATTCAAAGAATATTTTTTATAAGCATTAAGTGCACATTTTAGCACAAATGTTTTTGATTTAGAAAATGAAATGAATTAATAAATATAAATATTTTTAATATATAGATATAGCTATACATACGTGTGTGTGTGTATAGTTAAAAGTGAGATATATTCCTGAAATTTAATTTGATATTTTCAGGCTGGCGTGTATTGGCTAGAGTTATTCGACAAGTACGCGGCTAACTTTTCAGTACTCCTAATCGCCATAGCAGAATGTCTTCTGATATCCTGGAATTATGGTAAGTGTTGACGTCAACAGCTTTAGTGTTTGTAGAAAAAAGAATAACAAAAAGAAACTTCAAATGAATGGATTCATTGTTTTGAATTACTTTAACAAATAGAAATATTTCTATATAGAGGGCGCACCCAAATTCGTCCAGTTTGAAAGCCTCATGCGATAATTTGCTGAAACTGTTTACCCAACATTAAAAATACTCTTTGGGAGCATTTCTATGACGACATGCTTTGAAACTGACGTTGCAAAAGTTGCACGTACGTCACACTATTTAGCTTTGTAGTCAGCAAAACACATTTTGCTCTCTTCTGTTCGTTCACGATTTTGAGAACGTGCAATATTGTGCTATTCTTTGGTTGATATAAAATTACAGTTTTCACTGATTTCCAAGTTTAAAACAAATAAACATTAAAACTTCATATTTCAGTTGCTGTAAAGGAAAGTACATTTTAACGGCTACAATAGACTGAGATTTCAAAATAACGAGATGTCTATACAAGTTGTTTGTAAAATGTAACACTGTTAATTATCTATCGTTTTATAAATTGAAAGAAAATGCTTCAAATCCACACTAAAAATTAGGTAAGCATTGAACTTTATACGAAGTTTGATAGGTTTATGTAGTTGATATATTTTATAATTTAAAACAGAATAAAATAGAGATGTAAGTTTAAGAACTATGGCCAGAGTTGTATCTAAAATCATAAACAGATGTCCACTGTTTATATTAGACCAGCACAACATACCCGCGCTCCGCTACGGGATTCAAAGGTCCCTCATGATTTTCAGAGGCCCGAGTGTAGCGATCAAACCTCTCCATTATACCCAGTTACTTCTAGAGCTACCTCAAGGGGAGTACGTACCCGAAAAAAAAATGCATGAGAACATTCCACCCGTTGTACCTCGGGGCGTGTGCTAAATCTGGTCCCAGTAGTATGTGAACACAGCTTCAAAAATGGCGTTCTATGGATTTCGAGAGGGGGAGAACACGGAAACAAAATCCGATGCCATATTGGACTACATTGACTCTACAAGTCTGCTCTACAGTCCCCATCATGCTTGGGTGACTTTCCTTTTGGTAAGGAAGCTACGCCATATAACCATATTCGAATACATTGACTCTACAAGTCTGCTCTACAGTCCCCATCATGCTTGGGTGACTTTCCTTTTGATAAGGAAGCTACGCCATATAATTAAGGACATTCTCCGGGTCACCTCAAGTCCGACTGTCAAGTTTGTTCTTGCTAGCTCTAAAACTGTGAAGTTCGCGGTCAAACAAACAAACAACTTGAATTAATACAGAGATAATCAAATTACAGTGAAAACTCATTAATCCGAACGCTTTTGTAATGAAGCTTATCTTCCGATTTATCGAGACACCTGGATAGTCGAATCAGTTACTCTAAATCAGAGTTTCTCAAAGTGTGGTTTGAGGTTCACTGGTGGGTCGCGAAGGACCTCCAGGTGGTCCGCGGCCTGGTCCAAAATGCATGTCACTGACGCGCAACGCCATGGCCGAGGTTATACGAGATAGAACAGAACATATAGGTGGTCGGCGGGGGTCTTTTACCCCCCTTTCCCGAAGTGGTCTGCGGGGTCAAAAAAAAGTTTGAGAACTATTACTTTAAACATACTATTAATACTAATATCGGTCGATAACTGCAAGGGTGACAACTAATAGGGGTTTGCATGTTGCTGATAAACAAAATGCAGCAGTTTTTTATTGCATATGTCGTCTATAATCATGACAACTAATAGGGGTTTGCATGTTGCTGATAAACAAAATGCAGCAGTTTTTTTATTGCATATGTCGTCTATAATCATGACAACTAATAGGGGTTTGCATGTTGCTGATAAACAAAATGCAGCAGTTTTTTTATTGCATATGTCGTCTATAATCATGACAACTAATAGGGGTTTGCATGTTGCTGATAAACAAAATGCAGCAGTTTTTTTATTGCATATGTCGTCTATAATCATGACAACTAATAGGGGTTTGCATGTTGCTGATAAACAAAATGCAGCAGTTTTTATTGCATATGTCGTCTATAATCATGCAACTTTCATAATCAGAGTGCCATATTGTGTCATTATCTTCACATATATCACAATTTTGTTCAAACCAATGACCTACTAACGGAATACAAATTACATAGTGCATGTATTATCGCCCCCCCCCCCAGTGGCACAGTGGTATGTCTTCGGATTTACAAGGCTAGAAACAGGATTTCGATACCCGTGGTGAGTAGAGCACAGAGAGCCCATTGTCTAGCTTTGTACTTAACTTCAAACAAATAAACATGTATTATTGTTTTCTTTGTATAAACAAACATCCCGTTTTAATGATGATGATATTTCTAAGCGTCTTCGTTTTGAAGCACTATGACTTGTCGTGACATAAAGCACTGATCACTCTGACGACCTCTGAATATTTGTTATAATTTATACGTACATCCCTACTTTAAAGGTCGTTCTCAGATAAACTGTCATAAGCCGGTACCCAATGCGAGTGCAGACTTTTTTTGGTCAGTAATAATCACATTGTTTTCTGTTCTAATCGACTTCTAAATTGATGTATATATTAATTATTGAATCATGTATTCATAGGAAGTGCATGTGTGTTAATTATAGAAAATGGCTGTTCAGATTTGGAACGCGGATATACGAATTATTGACTAAATTTCCTGTTGTGAAGATTTACTACGTGAAAAACTATCCGGGTTATCGATGTCATTGTTCATTATGTAACTTTATTTTTCAATGTGACTTTTTAGCTATACTTTTGTCATTCAGTTTAACTGTATGAATGTGTTTCAATCTGAGACAAGACTGTGTATTATAACGTAACGTTACTGGGTACTTTTAAGTAGAGGTGTTAATGGAATGCGTTTCAACTGAGACAAGACTCTATATTATAACGTAACGTTACTGGGTACTTCTAAGTAGAGGTGTTAATGGAATGCGTTTCATACAGGTGCTGATCGTTTCCTGAACGACATTGAGAAAATGATCGGTCCACGTTCCAATGCTTGGGTAATATTCTGGTCAATAATGTGGAAATATCTAACCCCAGCTACTCTTCTGGTAAGTGAAATATGTTGTTTATTGAATGAAGCAAAAACTCTACTACTTCAAAACCAACAAAAGTATAATCACCTTATTTTCAATTATTGCGGTGCACTGTTTAAAAACAATTACACCTGATGCAATAGATATGAGAACGCTGCTGTAACAACTCAAATCCGATGCAATTATTATGGGAATATTATTGCAACAAATAATACATCATGTAATTGTCATGAAAACACTGATGTATAATTCGCATTTAATACAATAATTATGGGAACCGTGTTGTAAGAGATCACATTTAATACCATAATTATGGAAACCGTGTTGTAAGAGATCACATTTAATACCATAATTATGGGAACCGTATTGTAAGAGATCACATTTAATACAATAATTATGGAAACCGTGTTGTAAAAGATCACATCTGATAGGATGATTATGGGAACACTGTTGTAAGAGATCACATCTGATAGGATAATTATGGAAACACTGTTGTAAGAGATCACATCTGATAGGATGATTATGGAAACACTGTTGTAAGAGATCACATCTGATAGGATGATTATGGGAACACTGTTGTAAGAGATCACATCTGATAGGATAATTATGGAAACACTGTTGTAAGAGATCACATCTGATAGGATGATTATGGAAACACTGTTGTAAGAGATCACATCTGATAGGATGATTATGGGAACACTGTTGTAAGAGATCACATCTGATAGGATGATTATGGGAACCCTGTTGTAACAATTTGTATTTAATACAATTATAGTGGGAGCACTGTAACAACATATCACATCCGATACGATTAATAAGGTAACACTATTTAAACTATCTATTTAATACAATTATTTTTAAAAGAATACTTGTTGTTTGCCAAGTTTAAATTGATACAATTATTATAAGAATCCTCTTACAATAAATCTTGTCTAACGCAATTATTATGGGAACACTGTAGCACAATTCACACATGAGGCAATTTTTATAGCTACAGCTTATAGGCTAATCACATCAAATAATATTTTTATGGAGTCAGCATGTAAACTAATCAGACTTTATTCAGTATATCCTGGGTAAAGTGAGAACTAACCACACATATTACAGTTATTGTGGGAACATTATTGGAGCAAACCATATCCGATACAAAAATTATGGGAACATCACTGTGCAAATCACACTTGATAAAATTATTATGGGAACACTTGCACAGATAATCCTCGATACGATCACTATGGAGACATTGCCTAAAAATTCAAACTTTATAAATTTTTATTTTAATAATAAAACTCTTGAGAGAAATCAGAATACATTTGTAATGGAATCACTGTTGGAATAACATAACACCTGAAACAATCATTATTGGCATAGTATAGGCAGTGTGGAAACTAATCACATGTGTTACAATTGTTATTATTGTATTGTGGAAATACTGTAAGACTAAATTGCACCTGATTCAATTATTATGTGAACATTGTTGTAATAAAGTGCATCAAAAAAGATGTATAATGGGAACACTGTTGTAACAAATAACATCTGATGCAAGTATCATTGGAACATTGTTGTAATAAATTACTACACTTGATACTAGTATTATTGGAATGTTGAAACAAATTTCACCTGATACAAGTATTACTAGAACATTATTATAACAAATCCTACTTGATATAAGTATACACCTGGAAAAAAGTTAAGCACCCCCACATATTTTTCAGGATTGCTTATTGAAAATAAGGTTTAATTTTCATGATGTTGAGCAATGTTT